ATTTGGGGCTGACCCGGTGACAGGCCTAGCTGGGCCAGAAAAACTCATGTTACAAGGCATTATGCTGACCCTGCCCCCTAACAACTGGCATTCAGGCAGATTCTTAGACAGCTTGAAGGCCCTGTGTTTCGTGGCTGCGTAAGGACTTTATACATGTGCAAGCTTTCCCTTTTAAGCAAGTACCTCCTACGTGCTCACCCCTTCTTTCTTTTCTTCCTTCTTTCCCCTTCTTCTCCCTCTCCCTCCCCTTCCATCTCTGTTCCCAGTTGGCCAACACCTACCCACCCCTTTGCTTCCTTTCCCCAATAAATTCCATGTGGGTTTTGTTGAGTTTTGTGGTTCGTGTTTCATCGCAGCAGCTGAGCAAAACAATCAGGGCTAGGAAGGCAGGCAATGTCTTGCTCTTGTCCTGGATGGGAGTGAAAGGGTTTTGTTGGATGATGAGTGAAGGATTACGTTTGGCTAGAGGGGTTCTAACTTAGCTAGGAGGCATCTAGTCCAGTCACATTAGGATGAAATTTTTTCCTTAATAGGGAAGACTGGCTTCTTACACTCTTGGATTCCTTCTTCCTCTCTTCTGAACCACCACTTATATAAGGCTTAAGAGATTCATCTTCTATACTTAATTTTTCCCTTCCTTCTCTATGTTACAGAAAAGAAGGATATGCCCTTGGGGTCCTGGGTCATCAGCAGAGACCTTTATTTGGTCAGTTACATACTTATAGAAAAAATTAGAGCATACTATCCAAGGATGGGAACCTTGCCTGCATGCTGTGGCCACAGTTGAACTTCTATCCTCTCTCTCTCTCTCTTTTAAAGATTTATTTTTATTTTATGTGCATTGGTGGTTTTTTTTTTTTTTTTTTTTTTTTTTTGCCTGCGTGTATCTCTGTGTGAGGGTACCAGATTCCCTGGAACTGGAGTTACAGATAGTTGTGAGCAGCCATGTGGATGCTGGGAAATGAACTCAGGACTTCTGGAAGAGCAGCCAGTACTCTTAATCACTGAACCATCTCTTCTGCTCCACAGCTGAACTTCTATTCAAATAAAAAAGCTTAACCTTTGGGTCACCCACTGCTGTTTTCTCTTTTCACTGCCCATCCAATTTTCTAACATACAACAGTCTCCAAATATTACTCCCTTCCCGAGTTTTCTCTCTTTAGGTAGCACTGGTAGAGGATGACACCCTTACTTTTTAGCCATGCCCATGTCTCAACATTCCTTCCTTCCTTTCTTTTTTTTTTTTTTCTCTCTTTTTCTTTTCTTTTCTTTTTTTTTTTTTTTTTTTTTTTTTTTTTTGAGTTTGTGCTTGTTATGAGCAGTTTTCACACTAGCCTGGTCCCACAGCTGTGTCAGCTCCAAATAACACAGAGATACTGTATTAGATATAAAGCTGTTGGCCTGTTACTAGCATTTCTTATTGGCTAGCTCTGTCTTAAACATTAACCCATTTCTATTAATCTAAGTATTTCCATGTGATCTTCTTATCTTACCAGAGAGTGGGTCCAGACCTCTTCCTCTCAAGTCTCTACATCTTGAAGTTTCTACATCTCCTACTACATTTCCAAGAATCCTCCTTGACTCCTACTCCTGCCTATCTTGCCTTCCTATTTGCCAACAGTACTTTATTCATTAACCAATAAGAGAAACAGATTTACAGAATGACATCTCCCATCATGTGCTTTTCAAGACAGGGTTTCTCTGTGTATCTCTGGCTGTCCTGGAACTCACTCTGTAGACCAGGTTGTCCTCAAACTCAGAGATCTGCCTGCCTCTGCCTCCCGAGTGCTGGGACTAAAGGTGTGCTCCACCATCTCCTGATATCTCAACATTTTAAACTGACTCAAGCTGCTGCTTTGACTTTCTTAAGATATGTATGGATCAATTTTTTTCTGCTGGCTTCTGCTACCAATCATATTTGGTTCCAAGACTAAAGTCCATCTCTTCAACCACTTCTGTCCACCCGCTCTAACCATCCATTTTTCCTTGCCTACTAGGTAAATATCCTCTCTCGACTCTTAGAGCCTGCTACAGTCTCTGGGGCCCCACCATGTGGGCAACTCTCTAGTTACTAAGACACTTGTTCCTCTCCCTCTTTTGGAATCCTGTTTCCTTGCCCCTCCCCCTCATAACTGCTTGCTAAGTCCAGCTGCTTCCTTAAGCTCTTCCTGGCCTCTGCAACCTTGTCCCTCCTGTCTCTCTGCTCTGTCCTGGAGGTCTCACAGCTTTTCTATGCCCTCCTGGGCTTTTCTCCTCTCTGAGTTGGAGTTTCTAAAACTCCTTTCAGCAGAGTTCAGTTTTGCAACCCCTCGTTCCTCTGTTCCTCCACAGACTCGGGTTTTATTTAAGCCTTACTCTGTTACTATAAATAACTTGGACTTAGTACAATTCAATGACCAAAATTGACATGCTCAATTTTCAATATTGGCAACTTCTGCCACCATGCAAACTTGCTCTCTCCTCCTCTATTTTTTTCTATCTACACCTGTCTGGAGTAGTTCTTACATATGGATGTTTATCATTCAAGAGAGACCCTCCCCTGTAATCAACAGCCTGTCCTAATAAAGTTGAAAAATTGCTCTATAGAAGGCTGTCAAAGGCTGATCCAGGGAGGCTGGAGAGATGGTTTAGCAGTTAAGAGCATTGACTGTTCTTCCAGAGCACCTGGGCTCAATTCCCAGCACCCACATGGCAGCTAACAACTGTCTGAAACTCCAGTTCCAGGGTCTGACATACAGACAGGTAAAACACCAATGCACATAAAAATAAATGTTTAAAAGGCTGATCCGATTCCCTATAACTCCCTCATTCACCTTTTCTTTATCTGGGCTTACCCACATCCCTGTTTTCTCTATTTTTGAGATAGTTCCCATCCTGAGAACAAAAATCAGAAAACTGGGGTTTGTGGAAGATGGGCTTTAAAAAAGAGTGCCTGTTTAATAAGGTCCTAAAACTGCATTTCCATGTACTCATATGTAAAAATATCTTGTGCTGGTGGCCAAACTTTGTAACATAAAAGTCACCTAGGTGGCCAGGCAGTAGTGGTGCACCCTTTGATCCCAGCACTTGGGAGGCACAGACAGGTGGATCTCTGTGAGTTTAAGGCCAGCCTGATCTACAAGAGCAAGTTCCAGGACAGCCAGGACTGTCACACAGATAAACCCTATCTTGAAAAACAGAAAACAAAACAAAACCCTAAAAGTCACTTAGGTTGTATTAGTTTTAAAAGGACATGAAGGGGGCCTGGAGAGATGGCTCAGAGGTTAAGAGCATTGACTATTCTTCCAAAGGTCCTGAGTTAAAGTCCCAGCAACCACGTGGTGGCTCACAACCATCTATAATGAGATCTGACATGCAGGCTGAACATTGTATATATAATAAATAAAGAAATAAGCAAATGTTTTTTTTAAAAGGACATGAAGGGGTCACGGAGGGAAAATGAGACTTGGCACCATGTGGCAGGACCGAGGCTCCTAAAGAAAGCCCAGGAGAGGTTATTGGTGGAAACCAGCACAAGCAATGAGAGTCTAAGAAAGTGTATAAAGGTCTGAGGATGCAGACCGTTTAAGAAAGTTCTGAAGGTATAAGAAAGTGATTTAAGGTAATGAAAAATGTTTCAAATCCCCCCTCTTTGTTATTGCTATATTAAGGTTTCAAAGGTTCAAGAAATCTATACTCAGTGGTTCAACCAAACCATTCCTGTGGTAGGGTCTAGAGACTGCACACCAACAGGTTGCCAAAAGGAGACACTTGTTCCTGTAACACCTAAATCGACTTCCTAAACACCTTTCCCCTAGCTTTTTCTGTGATCAAACTAGAGACTACTGTGGACATTGGCCAGAGACTTCTGGCGGCTGCCCTTTTTGGTCCTGTAGGACACATGCTGAATATTCAAGAAGGTGGTCTCTTTTTCTGAAGAATGTGGGATCTTTTATATCCTAATTAAGGACCCGTGGCAGCCCAGATGGGAGATAGGGGGCATGGTTAAACTTTATTATAGCATTTATCATAGCTATACGATCAAAATACCAAGGGTAACACCCCATTCTCTCATCTCTAGGCATAGACATGGTAGAAGAAGTGGTCCAACATTCATCAAAGGTTCTTACCTCCCTAACGTCTTCCCTCTTGGACACTGAATCTACGTCTGTCCTCACAGTCATTCCATCTCTTGTTTCAGACCTTAACCTCCGTACACCAGCTACTAAATAACACCCTGCCTGACCGCTTTGTAGAATGCTGGTAGTGTGTCCCTCCCAGATCAAATTCACCACCATTCCTAACCTCACCCATTGGATTATTAGACTCTCTCACTCGCTGCTCATTAGCTGCTCTGCTCTGGAGGGCTGTGGCCAGGGCTACAAGTTGCTTTGTGACCCTGAGAAAACCCATAATCTCTTTTGAATCCGTTCTTCATGTGCATGTTTTCTCCCCTTCTATCCTTCCTCCTAGCAGAATCCTTTGCGTCCATCGTTCTTGGTTGACACTTGATCAGACATGTCAGTGAGTCACTCCTGGAACCCTGGGGTGGACAAAGGCGGCCCTTCCTGGAACCAATAGGTGAAAAAAGGAAGCATGGTCACTCAACTGGACTGAGGTAGAGACAGGGCCTTTGAGAGATTTTGAGAGCCACGGTCAGGTTCAGAGCTCCTTGTTCTTCTTTTCCTTGACTACTTAGAAGGAAAATTCCCCCAGTAACGTGTCTCACACCTCTGCCTACGCGCTGCCCAGTGTTCTAGGACCTGAGATCCCACCCACAGATGTGGACGCTCTGAAGACTAGAGAAGACACTGGCTGGGGCCAATGGGCGGGGCTCAAGTGTAGCTCATCAGGCAGAGGGAAGGCGTGCATGGGTGGGGCTCAAGCTTTGTTCCTCCCCCAGAGACCAGGAGCCCAACCAGGCTTACTTTGCCGGGCTCCACCCCGTGTAGGCTCTTAGTGAGCTCCGAGGAGCCGCCCAGTTCCTGTTTTCCGGGTTGGAATAGTTCCTCCCTTCTTCCTAACACGGGTCAGCCCAAAGGGAGTGATTCTGTACCTCCAAAGACAGTCTCGCTGAGCCCTACCCTTCCCCACCCGGTCCGCACCGCATCCCACCACAGCCGCTGAGGAGGAGGGGGTCCTGGAGCCAGCACAAGTGGGCCAAAGTTCGGGTGCGCGTCTCAACCCCAGCCTCCTGGAATTGAATCTCTTCTTGGACCTGCAGGGTTTGTACCTAGACTCAGGTCTGCGAAGCAGTTCTGTCCAGCTTGAGCTGGATGCGCTAGTGAGGCGGGAAGTGAAGAGCTGAGTAGGGAAACTCAGGTCACAGAGGGCGAGAGAGATAGGGTTTGCAGAAACAATGGAGTGCGTAGAGCCCTAACCCCCAGAACCCCAGGCCTGGAAACTTAATTCCGATTTCAGCTCCACTACACTCTCTGTGGTCCGTAGCATCATCACATCTTCCCTCTAACCTTTGGCAGTGGAGAACCACCAGGTGGCCAGGAATTGTTTCAGGAAAAAAAAAAAAATTCCAAGAACTGAGGTCACGGGGGATGCTGTTCCAGTCTGATCCTAGGTGGCCCTTTACTCACTTTGCTGATGATGGGACAGATCCTGCGTAGAGACCAATGCCTGGGGGAGACATCCTAGCTGCCGCTGAGCACTGAGGCATTGCCCCTCCCTGAGCCCTAAGTCAGCTGAGGGAGGAAATTAATTGGGAGCATTTCTTTGCAGGAGTTTCTGAGACCTCAAGAGAGGCAGGCTCTAAGCCTGACAGACCTGGGAGGGAAGCGCCTGATTGACCAAGGTCCTAGGGGTCTCTAAAGGTGCCAAGCTTCTGTTTAGCACCCAGTGATGGCCCGCAGAAGACTGGCCCTGGGCCTGGCATTCTGCCTGCTCGCTAGCACAAGTCTCTGGGTCCTCTGGTGAGTTGCTTTTTGGAGTGTCCTCCCTGCCCTTCACAGCATTCCCCCCTGCCTCTGCATGTCACTCCTAAGTCTTGATACTCATACAGTTTTCCAGGACTCATCAACCTCTCAAGGCTCAGGATCCTCCAGCCCCAGCCAGACTAACTAGTTTTGGCTTTTGTGTTTTGCCTTGATTTGGCTTCCTAGCCTTTAACTTACCATGTTTTCTTCCCAGACTGTCTTTCAAACCATGTTCATGCTCCCAAAGTCACCCCGTTGGCCTTGTGAGGAGCTACTGCATGTTTTTTTTTTTTTTTTTTTTTTTATTATTGTTTGTGGGACCCGGTGTCAACTACATAGCCATGCCATGAGTGAATAGCCATATGGACAAAAAGACAAGTACACACTAGGCCCTGTGCTAGATACAGGTGCTCTATAGTCCTCTGTAGTCAACAACCCTAGAGTGACAGGGCTTCTTCCCAAATGCCCCATTGAAAGGTCTTTGCCCCTAATGAAGTGCACCAAGCCAGCCTCTAAGGAAGAGTATCATTAACAGGTCCTTTTTCTGTCTAGGGGATATGTCAAGGACCAGCTGCTGGTCTCCTACGTGCCTTATTACCTCCCCTGCCCAGAGTTGTTGTAAGTATGGGGCTAGAGGATTTGGGGGCAGTGTGCGCTGACCATATTTGGAGAGACAGGAAAGCCTTTTTGATGACATTGTCTGAGGGCTGATGGGGCTTACAGCTGCCACAAACATACAGTGACCCTGAGATTTCAGCCTTCAAGTATCATGCTTTGGCTTTAGACATGCTTGCAGAGCTATGGGCTTTGCTTATTGCTTACTGTGCCTGTTAGATGGGATGGTAGAGATGCCTTTCCTGGGCTACTGCATATGAGTAGCTGGTGTCCTGGTACATAGAAGGTGGTCAATAAGCAGTCCTGTTAGGAAGGGACCTCTTGCTCTGTTTTGTGTGGATGCAGGGAAGTGAGTGGCTTTAGCCTTCCCTACTTGGTGAAACTGTTTGACAGCTAAAAGTGAAAAGATAGGCCTCATGTTTCATAACAGCTAAAGAAAAATTAAGCATCTGAACTATAAGCTATTTGATAACACACATTTTATTTACTTATTCATTGGATTCTTAATAGCAATTATGACAAAGAGACAAAAAAAATATACACACAGATCTATTCTGCCTCTCACCATACAATGCCCTATGCCACCAGAACTGTGAATAAGGACTAAAACACTACTATATTTTGTTTTAATAAAATGTGTTATGCCAGGTGGTGGTGCACACCTTTAATCCCAGCACTCAGGAGGCAGAGAAAGGTGGATCTCTGTGAGTTTGAGGCCAGCCTGGTCTACAAAGCAAGTTCCAGGACAGCCAGAGCTACACAGAGAAACCCTATCTCAAAAACCAAAACCAAACCAAACCAAAACAAAGAAAGCATTATTGCCAAAAAGCAGCTTGGGGAGGAAAGGGTTATTGGCTCACATGCCCCCATCATAGCCTATCCTGAAAGGGAAGGCAGGAACCTGGAGTCAGGAACTGAGGCAGAAGCCATGGAGGATTGTGTTTACTGGCTTGTTCCTCATAGCTGGCTCGGTCTGCTAGCTTTCTTGCTTTTCCTTCCTTCCTTTCTTCCTTCCTTCTTTTCCTCCTTCCTCCCTTCCTTCTTCCCTTCTTCCTTCCTCTCATCTCTTCCTTCTTCCCTTCTTTCTTTCCTCCCTTCCTTTCTTCCTTTCCTTCCTTCCTTCCTTCTTCCCTTCTTTCTTTCCTTCTTTTCTTCTTCCTTTCTTTGTTTCCTTCCTTCTTTTTATTTTTTTCTTTCCTTTCTTTTTTGGTTTTTGTTTTAGAGGCTTTCTTTCTCTGAGTAGCCCTGGCTGTCCTAGATCTAGCTTTGTAGACCATGCTGGCCTTGAACTCAGAGATCTACCTGCCTCTGCCTCCCAAATGCTGGAATTAAAGGCATGTGCCACCACTGCTCAGCCTGTTCTCTTTTTTATTTTTATTTTTCACTGTTTAAGGAATTTTTATTAAAGCAAGAATTTTATAATCTAAATTATGTTTCCTTGCTCAGTCATCAGTTCTGCTACTTGAAACAGAACTGACATCCCAAGCTATTCCACAGTAAAGAATTACAAAATTAAAGAAAGGGATGCTTTAAATTTTTGTACTTTTCAGCCCGTTTTCTTGTAACATCCAGGACCATCTGCCCAGCGATTGATCAGTCATTAATTAGGAAAAAGCCCCCCATAGACTTACCTGTAGTCCAGTCTGATGAGGCATTCTGCCAGCTGAGGTGCCAAGACCACCTAGGTTGTGTCAAGTTGACCAGAAAACTAAGCACATTGATCCTGAAGTCTGTACATCTGAGGATGACTTGGAGCTCCCGGTTTTCTTTCCTTTACTTCTGATTGCTGAGATCACGTGCATGTGCTACCATGCCAGGCTTATCTTTACTTCCATTGTATTGTCTTTAGACACTTACAGATATGAAGTTCTTTTTTGACAAGTGTGTGCTAGGCTAGGACCAACCCTCTTGACCTGTACAGTAGACAGGCTCCCTTTCCCTGAACTACACTCCAGCCTCAGCTTCTGTATTCTTGTGTGGAGCCAGAGCCCCAGTGGAGCCAGAGCATGTCTGAACTTGTAGGAAAAATGAAATCACTGTCAGGCAGCACAGAATGCTGGGTCCTGGTGCTGCATCCTCTTCCTGATTCCAATCTCCTCCTCAGAACCCATTTATTTTCTGAGCAGTGACATAGTAAACAGAGTTTAAAGAATGGCAGTCATGAAGAACAGATACTATACAAGTTCACTCAAGAGTATTGTGATAATATTTCTGGAATAAGCACTTTGATGCCAGTGAGAGTGGAAGAGAGATGCCTCCAGGGGACTGGAAGCCTTCGATCCCAGACCCAGTTTGCATTCTTACTGTACTCTCTGAAATTGCAAGGTGGGGCGGGCAAGCAGGCAGGATTTTATAGAAGCCTATGTGGTAGTCAGAAGGTGGTTAAGCACAATGCACCATTGTTCTGGTTGTTTCTCCAGGTTACCCTGTTCCAGGTAGCTTTTTTGGTAACAGTGAAGTCATTCTCTGCAAATAGGCAGCACAAGTAGTGTTTTAAGTAAAACACTAAATAAATCCATAAATCAGTCTCTGTAGCATGAATTCTAATTGGTATTAATAAAAACTCAGGGTCAGGTAGCTATCGGGGTGAAAGCTGAAAGATCAGAGAAGCAAAGTGGCCAGCCACTAGGATTCTTACCTCTACCAATGCTCAGATCATAGTCCTGTCCTCAGATCCTGTCCTCAGATGCCTGCTTCAGACTGTGCCTTAGACTGCCCTGAGTTTCTGTCTTCTTTTGCCTTATATTCCTCTGTCTGCCGAGCCCTATCCCTTCCTGTCTCCACCTCCTTAGTGCTGGAATTAAAGGCACATCACTCCAAGGGCTGAGATCACTTTTGTGTGAGTTCTGTTTCTCTTTTAGACTGGATCAATTTCATGTAGCCCAGAGTGGCTTCTGTCTCCTGGGTGTGGAGATTAAAAATGTGTGAGACCACTGCCTGGCCTCTGTAGCCAACTAGTGTGGCCATCTTTGCACTCTGATCTTCAGGCAAGCCTTATTTGTTAGATCACAAGTCTCTAATACTTGGTTGTCTTCTTCTTCTCTTCCTTCTCCTTCTCCTCCTCCTCTTCCTCTTTCTCCTTCTCTTTCTCCTTCTTCTCCTTGTTTTTTGAGACAGGGTTTCTCTATGCAACAGCTCTAGCTGGCTGTTTTGTAACTCACTTTTATAGACCAGGTTAACCTCAAACTCATAGAGATCCACTTGTGTCTCTCCCAAGTGCTGGGATTAAAGGAATGTGCCACCACCATCCAGCATAATTGGTCTTTCCTACCTTATTCTACTTCAAGAGGAGGTACCAAATTCATAAAGACAAAAGCAGAGTGGTAACTGGGCCTCCATGGAGAGGCCCACAGGGAGCTACGGTCTGATGGATCCAAGTTTAAAGGACAAAAAGATAACATGCATTTTGTTTTTGTTTGTTTGTTTTCAAGACAGGGTTTCTCTGTGTAGCTTTGGCGCCTGTCCTGGAACTTGCTTTGTAGACCAGGCTGGCCTCAAACTCACAGAGATCCACTTGCCTCTGCCTCCTGAGTGCTGGGATTAAAGGTGTGTGCCACCATTGCCCAGCAAGAAAACATTCTTGACACAAGTAGTAGCTCTGGTTTTGCAACCATGCCAGTGAACTATGCATTGAATAATGATTGAAATAGGGCCAGTGAGAGGGCTCAATAAGGAAAGTGCTTTCCTTGCAAGTTCATCCTCCAGAAACTGAAAACAGCAGGTGTGGTGGTGTGTACTCCAGGTGGAAAGAGGTAGATATCTAGGGCTTGCTGCTAGCCATCCTAACCTTTTGGGCAAGTTCCAAGCCAGCAAAAGACCCTTTCTCAAAGAAAAGGTAAGGTAACCCTCCCTTGAGTCTGCATGCATCATCTCAGGTGTGTTTTACTTCTTCCCGAAGGCCTCTCTTTCTCTTGACCTCCATGTCCAAGCCTATGTTAAAATGTCCTGAACAAACCCCACTCTCTTTTCTTTGTCACCAGCAACATGAAGCTGCAGTTCAGGCGGGAGAAGTTGTTGCAGCCCACGACGCAGTAAGTATACCATTTCTCCCTAGATTCTGGCCTCAGGAGTGGGGGCTGCCTTCCTTACACTGGCTCTTCTTAATTACAGGTGGCAGTACCCTCAGCCTAAGCTACTAGAACACAGGTAGGTGTCAGAGAATGACCTGGTAGTGGCAGGGAGGGGAACGAGAAGGATACAGTGTGGCTAGAGGATGATGGAGGTACCAATAGTAAAGGGGCCTTGGGCCTCAGAGAATAAGAGAGCTGAGCTGTGTGACCTTAGGCAGTTGGCTGTCTGCTCTGAGCTTTACCTTTTGAGGAGATCATGATATTCCCTACTTTGTAGGAGGCTGGAACAGTAGACTGTGGCACATGCCTTGGATAGGGGCTTGTCCCCAATGGCATATTCTTTCACTTTATGGGCACCCCCTGATCTGTAGTGGGAGTGCTAGGACCCACTAGAATAGTGGTTCTCAACCTTCCTAATGCTGTAACTTTTTATTACATACAGTTCCTCATGCTGTGGTGACTCAAACCATAAAATTATTTTGTTGCTACTTCATACATAACTGTAATTTTTCTACTGTTAGGAATTATGGTATAAATATCTGATATACAGGGTATCTGATAGCCAAAACCCCACAGGCTCTGTAAATACATGACCCACAGGTTGAGAACCACTGCTTTACACACTGTCCATGCCAACTCTTAGACTTCCCAGCTTAGCAGGAGATAGCTATTTTATCCCACTTTCACATGGGGAAACTGAGGCCCAGCAACAGGGCCGAGATGCTATCCAGGCTTCTGAACAGGGAGGCTCCCATGGCCTGAGCCTCCCCCATGCCAGGCCCACAGAGTTGCTGACACTTACTCCCTGGTTGGCACCCATCGTCTCCGAGGGAACCTTCGACCCGGAGCTTCTGCAGAATATGTACCGGCCATTGAACCTGACCATTGGAGTCACCGTGTTCGCCGTGGGGAAGTGAGTAGTGGATTAGGCTGTGGTGGGTCAGGGTGGGTCTCCTGAGTCACTGGGGTTTCTAGTCTAGGGAGTGCTGTGCAGTAGTGCGGGAGAGCTCTCAGACTTAAGGCCTCACCTGCTGAGGAGGAGGAGGCATGCCACACCTAGGTGAAGAATAGCAGAGTATGGGAAAATACTTTATCCTCCCTATCTCTCCTGCCCTTCCCTGGCCTTTTCTTTAAGTTCACCTGGAAGTACTGGCCAGATGACAAATGGACCTCAGAGGTCAGGTGACCCCTTGTCTTAGGGATGGAGCCATGTTGTCCACTGTGCTATATGTCCCCAGCACCTAGCATCCCATCCACCTTCCCTGGATTCTGTCCCCGGCTGTCTTCTCAGCCACTTCCATCCTCCTGGTTCTCAGTATTTGTTCCTATAAAATGGTCATGTTTCTAAGCAGATCGTTGATGTTAAGATCAAAGGCCATGTGAATACCTAACAACAGTGTCTGGCATTAGTAAATGCTCTTGTCTCTAACCCTGATGGCTTCAGTTTGATACCCGGAACCCTCTCATGGTGGAAGGAGAGAACTGACTCCTGAAAGTTGTTCTCTGACCTCCATAGGCACACTTTGGCATGCACATATATACACATATAAATATTTTTTTTATTTTAAAGAAGCACAGTAGACATTGGGGAAGACAGTTCTGTTGGTAAAGTGCTTTCCATGCAAACATGAAGACCTGTGTTCCATGTTCAGCACCCACATAAAAAAGTCTGACCCCATAGCACAAGCCTATAATCCCAGCCCCAGGGATGCAGATAGGAAGGTTTGCTGCCCGGCCAGCATTGTCAGATCAGTGAGGTCCAGATTCATTAAGACCCTGTCTCAAAAACAAAAAATAAAAGCAAACAAACAAGATGACAAGCAATGGAGGAAGATATTCAACCTCTGGTACACATGTGTGCATAGACACACATACACATACAAACAGACAATTAAGGATCTGTCTCAAAGGTTGTCATACACAGAGTAGCCCTGATTAGAAACACTTGGACCAGTATGTCTCCCAGTATAGGTTTTAGAATTTGTGTAGACTTTAACAATTAAGTATCTTAACCCAAAAACTGTGGAGAAGGGCTTTTAGATGAAGGGTGTTCAACTTTAACAGGGATTGTGGGAGCTTGACAGATGAGGACCCCCAGGTAAGACCTAAATGACTTCTTGAGGTGGAGGACTAGGATGTAGACTCCAGCATATACTGGGGACCTGGGCAGTGATGGACAGCAGTTGATAGAGTTGTCATCCCCAGGTACACCTGCTTCATTCGGCCCTTCCTGGAGTCAGCTGAAAAGTTCTTTATGCGTGGGTACCAAGTACACTACTACCTCTTTACTCACGACCCTGCAGCCGTTCCCAGAGTCCTTCTGGGCCCCGGCCGCCTCCTCAGCATCATCCCCATCCAGGGTCACTCCCAGTGGCAGGAGATCTCCATGCGTCGGATGGAGACCATCAGCAAACACATTGCCAAGAGGGCCCACCAAGAGGTGGATTACCTCTTCTGTCTCGATGTGGATATGGTCTTCCGTAACCCATGGGGCCCCGAGACTTTGGGTGATTTAGTGGCTGCCATTCACCCAGGCTATTTTGCTGTATCTCGTCAGCAATTCCCTTATGAACGCAGGCAAGTTTCCACTGCCTTTGTGGCAGACAATGAGGGGGACTTCTATTATGGTGGGGCAGTCTTTGGGGGACGAGTGGCCAGGGTATATGAGTTTACCAGGGCCTGCCACATGGCCATCCTGGCAGACAAAGCCAATGGCATCATGGCAGCCTGGCAGGAGGAGAGCCACCTAAACCGCCGCTTCATCTGGCACAAACCATCTACAGTGTTATCCCCAGAGTACCTCTGGGATGACAGGAAGCCTCAGCCCCCAAGCCTGAAGCTGATCCGATTCTCCACAGTAGACAAGGATACCAGCTGGCTGAGGAGCTAACAGTAGAGCTGAGACCCCACTCTGCCTCCCCACCCCATGCCAAGCCCAGCCCTGCCCACGTCAGTCTACTGGGGAGTCCAACCAGGAAAATGGGTGGAAAGAAGATGTAAAACCATGAGGGACTGTGCATCCACAGCATGAGTGGTTGGACAAGAGGGAGACCAGAGCCTCAAAAAAGACAGGGCCTGGCAGGCCTCCTCACACCCACCCAAGGAATGGATGTGCCTGCCTTCCCAGGACAGGCCCTGGAATCCAGCCCTACTCAAAGTGCCTGGAGGCCTGCTGCTGTCCTCATTATATACTGTTTTTTTAGTTTGGTTTTAATCTGCAGTGTTGGGGATCACACTGATGGTAAGTGCTCTGCCTCTGAGCCCTGGCCTCCACCCTTGAATCTACGCTTTAATATCCTCATCCCAAGTCCCATGTTCTTCCCCCAGCCACGTGTGTTCTTCATTCAGGATCCCAGGACTAGCTCTGAAGTAGACCAGGTTCACCTGCATCCATCCCATGATGTGCCTCATTCTCAGGGACTAGATGTCTTCTTGGTTAGACAGTTTGTGGTAGCCTTCAATAAAGATGGTGTGAATTAGGTCCTGATTGGCGTTTTACCTGCATAGTGAACTAGTTTGCCAGTCCAGATAGTTCTGGGGGACACAAGCAGATTGATTAATGGTTTCTTCGGGAGACTGAGCCAAAGCTGGCTGTTGCTGCCACAGACCTTGCTCATTACAGTTCTGGGAGCCTAGGTGACATGGGTCCTGTGGACAGATGTGTCACACCTAGAGGGTGGCAGTGCTCATCAGCTTTATTGTGCCCTCGGTCCCTGGACATATAGGAGGTGTGCTTGTGGTCCCCTCTGTAGTCATGGCCACTGTGCTTGTGGGAGGCCACTGGTGGATATGGGGCTCCAGGGTGGTGGGATAGATATGCCAGGTTGAGAGGGTATTAACGGCCTGGGCCCAGAGGAACCTCAAAAGCCTATGGAGGCCAGGCAGAGATGGAATTGGACACTGGTTGAGATCTTGGTTACCTAATACTTCCCTAGGCAGCAGTATCATTTCCATGGACGGAAGAAACATGGTGGCTTGGGGGTACACTCTTAAGTCATGCAGGCATTCCATAACCCACCCATCCCTGGCCAAACTGGATGCTCATCTTGAATCTGTTTTCCTACACCTTGTTGATCTGCCAAGCAGGGGTGGTCATAAGAGTGGACATCTCCAATACAAGGGCACAGCCTGGTCAGAGAAATCCAGATTCCAGAAGAACCCCCAGGGCTTCTAGACAGCGGCTGGAATAGTACGTAGCCTACGTCTTTGGGAGGGAGCATCTGCCTGAGGCTGTCAAGCATCAGTGGTCTTGAAAGTAGAGTTGTGCTAAGGGGGCAGGCCCTACCTTCAAGGACTTGCTTTGGAGCAGGGGATTCTGGACATGGAAGCCAGCGAAGGCCTCTGGAAGACTGAGGCCCAAGGCAGCATTGGTAACGGAAGGAGATGATACCTATATGTCGATACTGCCTCTCCCAGGGCCAGCTAAGACCCTGCTTCCTATTCAGGGCATGGAGACTGAACCCAACTTGTAGAAGCAAACCACCATCCATGTTGCGTTCCAGAAGAGGCAAAGGACTGGGGTGGGGGATAGTCCAAATTAGATTTGAGTTTGTAGAGTGATAGGCACCACAGTTTCAGGACAAACCGAAATTCTGTGGGCCCAGAAGCTTTGAAATCACAGAGCATCCTCTTCAAGAAATAGGGAGCAGGCTGGGCAGTGATGCACATGCCTTTAATGCTGACACTCGGGAGGCCAAGGCAGGCAGATCTTTGTGAGTTTGAGGCCAGGCTGGTCTACAGAGCAAGTTTCAGGACAGCCAGGGGTACACAGAGAAACCATCTCAAAAAAACCAAAAGAAGAAAAGAAACAGGTGAGCAGTTCAGTGGTAGCTTGAAGTTAGGTAAAGCTCAAGGATCTGAGCTTCAATACCCACAACCCATTCATCTTAGTCAGGATTATTGTTAACATGATGAGACAAGATGACCAAAGCAAGATGGCAAAGAAAGGATTTATTTGGCATACACTCCTATATCACTTCATCATTAAAGAAAACCAGGGTAGGAACTCAACCAGGGCAGGAACCTGGAGGCAAGAGTTGATGCAGAGGCCATGGAGGGTGCTGCTTACTGGCTGTGGTGGTTTGAAGTAAAATAGCCCCCAAAGGCACTATTAGGAGGTGTGGCCTTGTTAGAAGAGATGGGCTTTGAAATCTCACATATGCTTAAGCCATGCTCAGTGTGACACACAGTCCACTTCCTGCTGCCTGCTTATCAACATGTAGCAGCCCCTTTTCCAGCATGTCTGTCTGCACGCTGCCATGTTTGCCAACATTGATGATAATAGACTAAACTTCTGAAACTAAGCCACCCCTATTATTTTTCTTTTGTAAGAGTGCTTTGGTCATGGTGTCTCTTCACAATATATAGAAACTATAGACACCTCCTCATGGCTTTCTCAGCCTACTTGCTTATAGAGCTCAGACCACTAGCCCAGGGATGGCCCTAGTCACAATGGGCTGAACCCTTCCCCGTTGTTCACTAAGAAAATGCTGTACAGGCTTGCCTACAACCCATTCTTATGAAGGTATTTTTTAAATTGAGGTTCCCTCCTCTAAGGTGATTGTGGAAGTTGATATAAAACTAGCATGCCATGTTTTGCTTTGTTTATAAAAACAAGAAAAAGCTGGCCCATTACCTATGGCTGGTTAGGCCATTTCATTAAATCAATAACATTTCTGACTGAAATTCTAAATACTTAGCTTTATATCCAAAGATAAATGTGGCTCTCACCTCTCAACAAAGTAACTTCTTTTATGCAGTGGCTGAAAAGCATCACAGAAAGCCATAACTGGTCAAAATGTGGAGAACCAACCACAGGGTGCCCAGCCCTAGTTGCTACATCTAAAACACAACCTCTACACCTAAGGCTCAGGAAACATCACAAAAGAGGGCGTGGAAAGACTGGAAGAGCCAGAAGGCCAGGACAGGATATAGGTCTATGTCTGTTTCGAGATAGTGTCTTTTATATTGGACAGGGAAACAGCACCCAGGAAAATCTCAACAATATCATCACCTAAACAAGATAAAACAAAACAAAACAAACAAACAAACAAAACACCACCTATTGACATACCAACATGGATGGGGGAATTCTCACAGGCTTCACCCCTAGAAAGAACTACAGGTAATTGATGGCTGCTGGAGGTAGGACAAGTCAGTCTTCTTCTGGGGCAGACTCCCTGGATAAGATAGCCAATCTGAGAGATTAGCCCTAATCACATGGGCAATATTAAATAAACTCAGCAGAATATATTTAAACTGTGCGTGTAACAATTATAATGAAAGAATAAGCCATGGCTTTGAGGAGTGGGACGGACATGGGAGGAATTAGCACAAGAAGAGGGAGGAGAAAATAATGTAAATACAGCACTCATGAAATTCCCAAAAAGTAAAATTTAAAAACCCAGGCATGGATAAACACATCTGTAATCCTAGTACAAAGGAGCTGGAGACGGTCAGCACTCTGGAGCCCTCTGTCCATTTATTCAGCCTTGCCTAAACTGGCAAGCATCAGGCTAGTACAAGAATCTGGAGTGCAATGAGGCAGGTTTTGGGGACCATGCTGGGATAACAGTGTTCATTCAGCCCCTCCAGCCATCCTCTCCACAATGTCTTGGCTCTGCAGAGAGTTCCTGGACAAGGCTCTGGACCTCTACCCTGCAGTAGCTCTCAACTGCTTGCTGAAATCATTGGGCACTCCCAGCTCCTCAGAGTTCCCAATCATACCTCCTTGGTTCCTATACAGAACAGTTTTGGATGCCTGTTGACCTTGGTTGAAACCAAAGTTGGGCCTAACCAAAACCTGTGACAGGTAGGGTTATGGGTGACTTCTGAACACCTGTTTCTTTCACTGAAAAATTGGTTAGTGGGCTGGAGAGATGGCTCAGAGGTTGAAGGCACTGGGTACTTTTCCAGAGGACCCATGTTTCAATACCCAACACCCACATGGCAGCTCACTACTGCTTGTAATTCCAGTTCCAGAGGACGAGACACCCTTTTCTGGCTTCCTTGATCACTGCACACACAGCCAGAAATGTATCATACACATAAAAAATAGTAAAACAAATTTAAAAAGAAAAAAAAATGAGTTAGTAATTGCCTTTGTAAGTGTGCCTTAAAATAAAATAGGGACATGGAGGGCCTCCAAAGGCTGACACAGAAGATGCCCTGGCTGGGGAAAGCCCAACACAGGATGGACCAATGAGTGATGCTTCTAAGTCCCCCCCAGGCACAGTTGGATATGATCACCAAGGCTGATTAGCTGTGAATGTCAGTGTCATTGCTCATTATGAATGAGACTTTTTGTTTCCTTAAATATTTTATCTATTTTGTGGCGGGGTCTGACTGGCACGAAACTCCCTATGTAGACTATATGATGGCCTTGGACTTAAGAGAGATCTGTTTGCCTCTGCCTCCCCAGAGCTGGAATTTAAAGTGTGCATGCTTACATCCAGCAAGATGTATTTATTTATTTGCAAGATGCGTTTTTACTAATGTGTATGAGTCTGTGTGTTTGTGTGAATGTATGGAGGCCAGAAGAAAATGAGAGTCCCGGCATGGGTGCTGGATACTGAACTTGGGTCCTCTGGAAGAGCAGCAAGCATTCTTACCAGCTGAACCATTTCCCCAATTCCAAAAACAAGGTTTAATCCTAAGTGCCCTAGGGCTCCTTAGTAGCAGTGACTCCCCACATCCCAACACCTGCTCATCCCAGGTACATCCCTCCTAACCCTCACACAAGCGAGGGACAACCTGGAAGGGAAGGGATAGGAGAAATGGAGGTCCAAGGAGGAACCTGATCTTCCTGCCTGTCTCAGAGTCTATTAACACCAAGCTGCATGTGGCATAGGGGGTACCTGGGTGACAAAGTGTCCAGGCTCTCCATGTCCACCCAGCCTCAGCACCTGTGACAGTGTTTCTAAACCCTGCCGGGATGGGAGTACTGCGTAGGCGACTGGGCTGAGGGACACGTGAGACCAGTCCAGAGGAGAACGCGGTGCGCGGCGCGTGCGCGCGGCGAGGCGGGGTCACGTGTGCGCGCGCCGGCCGGCACCGCGTACGCGCCAGGCCGACCTCCCTGCGCCCTAGTCCATTCGCGTGCGCCCCGCGGAAGAAAGGCCGAGCGCGTCTCCAAGCTCGCGCGCCGTGGCCCGCCCCTCGCACCTGCGGGCGGGCTGGGCGGGGCAGGGGCGGGGCTGCGCTGTCCCCGCCCACCCGTCCCGAGCCCCGGGAGCTCCAGCGGAACCGAGCAGCGAGGCCTCAACGGCCGGGAGCGCGGCGAGACGAGGAGCGACTCAGACAATGGGAGCGGCATTGGCGAGGGCCGCGGAGCCCCGGGCCTGGCGGGGACCGGAGGCCTCGCCATGAGCTCCGCTGCCGGACGCCCCGCTGCGCCGCGCGCGGGCCGAGGCGAGCGGCCTTTGCGAGCCCTCGGCCGCGCCCTGGGGCTGGCGATGAGCTGCCGAGGCTGAGGATGATGGT